GCGTGCTGCTGATGGCGTGCAGCCAGTTAATATTGAGAGACAGAATGTGGGGCCAAGGGTCTGGCCAAGTCAGCCGCGTGTGAGCTTCAGCCTCATGAGTTTACTCCGCCTCGATGCTGCCCGAACCTACCGCTGCCTTGGTCTATCATACACGACGACGGCCTTCACGATGCGGATCTCGCAAATCGATCTACACCAAAGATTCTGCCCACTATACGATCAGTCTAGCGAGAGAGCAAGTTACCAACACACACTCTGAAGTCCAGGGTTCGCTTCGTAGGGCCGCGCGTGTCGCCAGCTTACCTAACGAACATCCACACACAGCCTCATCGTAACGATGGAGCTGCCACCCAAGCATGTGCGATTTACGCACACTCCCCTGAACTTCAAGCACAAAGAGATACGCATTTTGACAATCGAACCGAGTTCCGACCCAGAGAGCCCAGTTCAGATCACCATAAAGCACATCGACTTCAGTGATCACATTCACGCTCTCACTCGTTATCAAGAGGAGAAAGCTAGACTTATAGCTCAAAACCTTTGGGATATTGACTTGGGGAGTGATGCTCTCTACGATGAGATCTTCAAAGAAACGTTGCGTTTCATCGCATTATCGTATACTTGGGGCCCTGAGTTTCCTGTGCAAGACATACTTGTCACAAGCCCTGAATGCCGAGGCTGGCTTTCAGTTCGGCAAAACCTATACGACTTTCTGAAAACAAGACGAGCTTGTGGATCGGAGTGGTTCTGGATCGATCAAATCTGCATCAATCAAGGAAAGGACGATGAAAAGACCCACCAGGTCAACCAAATGGCAGAAATCTATAGCGCAGCTGCTGTCGAAGTTTGGCTTGGTTCAGAATTTGAAGGCAGCAACGACCTTATAGATTTGATTGTCCGCGAGAGTGATCTCTTGACTCAGGAACCCTACCCACAGCTAAGTGTGGATAAGCAGGGGCTCAGTACACATATACCATCTTTACGTCGCCTTCTGTGCAATCCATATTGGTCAAGACTGTGGGTCACTCAAGAGATCGTACTCGGTAAGGTTGTCAATATACGCGTCGGCTCGAAGGCCTTACCATGGAACACATTCTTCTCGGGTTGTTCTAGAGTGGATGATGCGTGGTCACGTCTGGATTATATACCCAAGAGGTGCTTCGCTGATGCATCCGCAGCACTCCGAATAATGTCGATCAACCATAGTCGGAGGTTCGTGTGCGAAGACTGGGTGGACATCTGGTCTCTAATTGACAAGTTAGAATGCTCAGATTTGCGGGACAAAGTGTTCGGAACAATGGGTATACTTCACCCGTCACTTCGAATACTTCCCGATTACTCAATGCGACCGCACGATGTATTACTCATGCTTCTTCCGAAGATAGTCGAAAGCATATGTGCTTCAAATGGACTCTGTCAGTACGATCCGCTTGGATCCAAGGGCCTGGATCGTGACTATCAGGTAAGATGCATGCAAGCGGCAAGGTATTGGGAATTCATACTCGAATACGATGCAGACAAGATCAGTCGAAGATCAACCCGCCGTCATCTGCTCGATATTCTCCTATCCCTTGATCCACCCAAGTTTCGCTGCAGAATAGGGAAAGTTTGCCTACTCAAGTACCGTATGTGGTACTCGATGGGAGAAGGGTTCGATCTAAGGATGAAGTATCGGCGATTACGCAGACTTCGAAGGGGGCACTCCAGACCAACCAGGGTAGCACGTGCTCAACCTTTTGCCGATGACAGCCTGTTTGCAGAATCGGACGTGGATTCTTCGAGTATTACGGACTGATGTGTCTCTATTGAGTGGTTTTCTGTACGACCTTCTGCGTATCAGAATGTGCGCCTATCAGCTGGCTACTAAATACTCTTCTTTCTCTTAATGCTAAGTGCCTTCGCGAAATCCTGCTTAACCTTCTTCGCCGGCCTAGATACCGAAAACTCCACGCCCAACGATTCCTCTTGTGGCTCCGAACCTGATGAACTCCTCTTTCCACCCTTGAACACAGCCCGCGCAACTTCAGCAACTTCAGCAACTTCAGCAACTCCAGCAACTTCAGCATCCTCAGCGTCTTCTAACGGCACACGAGTGGCCACGGTATGTTTCGCATTCACTTTTTCTCTTCTTGCGTTCGCTGCTCTGATCTCGCCTCCTTTACGATACGGTAGTCCCTGTTCTTGGGACCAGTTTCGATGATGATCGCGGTGGCGCAGCCGGGACACTTGCAGTGTAGTGTAAGTGTCTTTACACCAAGGTATGCCTCGGAGGAGATGGTTTTGATAATTTTGCGGAAGATCTTGCCTTTGGTGGCGTAGTGGCCACAGGAGAGGCAGCGCATGCTGCGGAAGGCCGCGGGGAAGTGCTTCTGGATGGTCTTGTGTTCAGCCATGGCGGTGATACTGAGAGTTATGAAGATGATTTGGAGAATACGTGGTTAGTTGTGACGACAAAAATTGCGATGAAGATAGACTCGGGCGGTATTCGTAAAGTTTGTTAGTTGCGGAGGTCAAGGAAAGATGGAAGACTGGAGGATACGAAAGCGAGAACAGTATCGATTGCGGGATTTATAAGTGGCTTGTCGGTTCTGCGCCATCGCAGTACCATAGGATGAAGTGAAGTGGATGGCAACCACAGTATGAGCGCACTTAGCGATTGTGAGTCAAAGGTGTTACTGGTGAGGAATTAGTCGCTCAACCATGGTACAGTTTGGTATACCTACACGTACGCAAAGACGCTCTGAAACGAGTTGTATGGCAAATATAAAGACCTCGCCAATGATATGGAACACAACTGAGTTCCCTCTCATGAATAAGCCATATATCTTCAGGATGCGTTATAAGATATCCCATCTACTGAGAAAACAGCAAAGCTACCATAACACTAGTAGCCTGAAAAGCACCCTTTGTGCGAACAAGAGAAGCAAAAGTTTGGGGTATCTTCTTAAAAGCAGCAGCACCATCACCTATTTCCGACCATACCTGAGGAAACGCGGCTTCCACAGTGACATCCGACTCCGCCTCGCCCGTCCAATCGAAGCCGATCCGCCAATTGAGCTTCAGTAAGACGTGTTTGTCCTGTAGAATCAGGGTATCGCGATCCAAGTTCCTGCTCAGATCTTTGCGCGTGATGGATTTCACTGGCTGAGTATTCTCGGTATCTTCTGCGGAGCGGCCTACGAGTAGATGCGCAAAGTTGGTTTCGCACTTGTGCCAGTGTTGCGCGCGTTTCCTTGCGATTTGCCAGTACGAGTCCATGGCCCAGGAGGCATTACCAAGATCTCTTTCGAGCGCTCTTGCACGGATGTAGGTGCCTAGTTCACGCTCGGCCCATGGTGAGATCCGAAGCAGCTGCATGTCGATAATCTCGTGCGCCAACGCGTCGATTGTAATCGAAACCTGAGCCGTCAACAGCTTCTGTGGGCCGGCAATCTCGATGGTGTGTTTCTGATGAACGCGCTGTGACGCTGGAGATATCTTGCTACGAGGCAGGCTAAGTTGTGTGGAGAAGTTGAGTGATGTAAACATCTCTAGGTAAGGCAAAGGATCTGCTAATTCCACTGGCCGATGGGACGGAACTGGCTTTTCTGCTTGTTTCGGGCGTGGCGGAGGAACGGAAAGGGCAGCGAATGGTAGGAACGAAGAAAGCAGACTTGATACTGGTGCTGACTTCTCCGGCTCTGTATCGGTACCGCTGATCTCGGATATGAACTTCCTAGTATTGCGTCAGTCATCGCTTCGCTACGATAGGGAATCATTACACTCACTTCAAACTGTCGCGCTCTGGAGGCCGTAAAGAATCCTCTGGGCCACGACGCTGCTCTTTGACCACCTCGTCAACACATCTTGATACTTGAGCCTCCAACTCTTCTACCTCGCGCTGCAGACGTGCCTTCTCTTGTTTCCTTCTTTCGATCTCTGGATCTGGAGGTTGTCTCTCTTGTACCACTTCCTGAGTGACGTCTTCGACGGGACCATCCTCTATTGGCCCTGTGATATCATCGGGCTGTACTGCTGGTGCTCTCGAAGTCGGTGGAGGCTGTTTTACAGGATCTCTGACACGCGGAGGCCGCTTGCTTGGTGAGGAGAAGAGGATACCTTGGCGCGGCTGCTTCGAGTTTTCGCGGTCGTTCTGAGAGGGGGTTCCCGGGAGTTCTGGCTCATCTTCATCACCCGGTAATCCCGAATCGCTCTTCTCCCTTGCTCGAGGACCACGTCTGGCTGACAACCCCGCTTGCCTGTTGCGTCTTGGAGATGCTTTGAGAGGTGACGAAGATAGGAGACTCGGGTAGTTGCGCGCAAGGCTGGCTTTTGTAGGCGATGCGAAAGACGGTCGTCGAGGAGGCTTCCTCAGAGGGCTTGATGTTTGTTCGTCAGGCGAAATGGTCCTCCTCCGCTTCGCCGGTGGCTCGTTCATCGTGTTCGCATATGGCGGATCAGTTGCAGTCGTAGTATCGGCGCGATATCTGTGGGTGCTCGTGGTAGGAATAAATTGGTGTATGTGCTGGTGGGGTATGCGACGATAACAGTGAATGCGACGCGTCGCATGTTGTTACCCTGTCGGCGTTCGCTGCAGCTTTGGCCGACATTCGGAAAGGCGGCGCAAAATGACGTCGAACCGTCAATCGGTACTTTCAATCAGCTTGCGAATTGGCATTCGACCAAAGTGGCCAACACCGACATGTCGTAACGAGACACACTGGAGTATCTGTGACTGCTTCGTCCTTCGCTCATTTCTCTAGGATAATGGAACACATCGCATACTCAGGCCCACTGGCATTGCGCCAGAGACTCTGCGCTTCATGCACGAGAGCATGGCGCAGGCCGCGTGCTTCGATAGAGGCAGGAAGGATCGGACTCCAGAATAGCGATCGGATACAGCGTCGCTTCAAAGGGTACATCGCACCGGAAGGCGAACAAGCTAGACCTATCACTGGCTTCTATGCAGGTTGGACTCTCATCCACATTGTTCGCAAGACCAAAACTAACAATATCTAGATATGCTAAAGAAACCACTGTCTGAAGTACAATCACTATCTCACACGACGCCTGAGCCACCTAAAGAGCCGCCAAAAACGCAGAAAGAGGAAACATTTGCCAAAGCCCGTATAATCTTCGGCTCCACAACTGCATTGGAAGAACGTAAACAGGAAATTTTGAACTCCTCTCAAAATATTGCTGGTGTATTAGTCCCCCCACGACCCGAAGAACCGGATAACTGCTGCATGTCCGGATGCGTGAATTGTGTGTGGGACATGTACCGGGACGAGATGGAAGAGTGGGCAGAGAAGAGCGCCCAAGCAAGAGCGGCGATGCAGGCCCAAAGACAGGAAGGAAAAGGGACAGGGAGTATGGTGGCGGGAGACAAGTCGCCGAGTCACGTTGCTACGAGCATGGATGACGATGGTGGTGGCAGTGAAACGAATTGGGACACTGGGTTCGATGATGCGGATAAAGACAAGCTGTTCGACGACATACCTGTGGGCATTCGAGAGTTCATGAGGACGGAGAAGAAGTTGAAGCAGGCACAAAAGAAGGCGGAAGCCGCTGCAGCAGCATAAGCTTCAAATTTGGCCAGACTAGAAGTTGTCTTGGCGTAGCATTTGTAGAACGTTCAAATACCCATCCATTACAGATCCTGTGATATCCCTACCTTGTGCTCCGAACCAAGACTAATTATGTTGTTCCCTGGAACTCTACCCTGTCTAGTCTTCACCAACATCTACGCCCTTTGCCTGGAGGTCTTTCCGCGCCTCTGCTATTTGCTGCATGAGCTCCGCGTGCGCTTGCGGTACGTCGTTAAAGGTGAAGACTCCCCAGCCGAGCTTGAAGAGGAGGTATGCGCCGAAGGAGATGAGAGCCCAGAAGGGGAGCTGCCGTCTGGTTAGCGAGAGTCCGGGACACGATGATGGTGGTGGTGGTGAAGGTAGTGGGGCCGAGACGTTCACGCAAAGCTGCGACTTACGAAAGGAACAATCTCCTCTTGGATCTTCTGAGGCAGAGGGACGACTTGGAGGAACAGGGAAAGGTAGATCTTTCACATGTTAGCATACACGTCTTGATATGTCAAGAGCTAAGGGGCTGCTGTACGGAGGTCAGGAGCATGCCAATGCTGATGGTCTGGGTAGCGCGCGTCATGATGGCGAATTGGTTGTTGGAGCTGGGTCAAACGAGGGTCGGTGGTCGGAGCAGGTGTTCGGGCGTGATGCTTGACGTCGTGCGGTGTTGAGTGTTGGGTGCCAGATGGCTCAAATGTTGCCAAGGGATCTGTTTCCAGGGGTCCAGAACGGAATCGGACAAAGGCAACGCCAACCGCGGCGGCGGGTGGGTCGACGCTGCTGCAGGACCGAGGAGGTCACCGCGTCTTTCCGTGTTTGAGAAAAACAAGTGGCTGAACCATTGCAGTTTTTATCGAGTTAATCAAACACGATCCTGCCAGTAGCTATTGTTTGTAGCCCTGCTTCCGGACTGAGAGTAGCCTGTTTACCTCCTCCCGATCTCGCCCGCCACTATGCAGACTTGAGCCTTGCCACAACTTTGCGGCGACTGCCTTTCTTCATCTTCACACTTTTGCGATATGCCCTTAACCAATGAGGAGCTTGGCGACTATATAGCGTCTTTGGAGCGCCTACTCCAAGGGAACCCTGCAGGTCAGACCGCTGCCCTCACAGGTTACGTGCATAAGCTCGATGCGTTTGCATCAAGTGGGGACAACGAAGCGATAGAGAAGACCTTGCAGCTGTTCGGGACGGCTGTTGGCGGTCGTAGTATGTAATGCCTCTGTGCAACGCCAACCATGCTGACAGTGTATAGAAAGATGGCAGGCGCCCTTCAGAGACAGCGGAATCCTTGCTTACGCTCTTCGCGGCTTGTCTACCGTGCGCCATGAAGATCCCATAGCGAAGCAATATCTAAGAGTCATCGGCAACTCGGTTGCTGATAATGGTACTGTATCCTAGGAAAGACCCTTGTACGACGCAAACAGTCTGACTGGAGTCAAGATACCAACAGGGAGCTCGCCGTAAGAGAGCTCCAAGCCATCGCTGGCTGCCTTCCATCGCCAGAGCTACGCTTGACCACATTGGCCGTACTTTTCAATCTTTGCAATGACTTTGGTGAGCAATGCCACGGGATCCTCCAGACATGCAGCTCATGCGAATAGAACCCGCCAAAGCTGCGGCGGCCACCATCAGACTGGACGCCACAATATGCACCTTCCTAGTACTTGACAGAATACCAGAGGCCGCGCTTGACTATGCCACGGACCTGCTCAACTGGACCACGAGCAACTTGACAGACGACCAGTTCAAAGACGAAGTTTCACTCGAGACATTCAAGAGCTTGCTGAATGTCGCACTCCAGTACGATGAAGACCACCATCTGGAATATGTGGCTATTCTGGTACATTACCTCCAAGATCCAGAATTCCAGCAAAGAATAGCAACACCAAAACTGCTCGACGATCTCGTCACCCTCATGCTGGAGTTTGAGGCGCGACTCGAGCCAGAAGACATCGATGCTGTTTTCGAGGAACTCGCAACCAGCAAGAACGCCGATACCGTCACATCAGATGAAGCCCAAGTCCTCCTACTGGCACAACTGATAGGGCTGCTATCTGCTGCCTCGGCTACAGATGTCTTTGCACAGAATTTCAATGTCAGAAGTCCTGTCATTGAGAGACTAGAGGCAAAGCTACGGGCACCATGGGACAGTGCATACCCATCTACGATATGCGCTTGTGTCATGGTGGGAAATCTGGCCATGTCTGATGAGGTTTGCATTGACATGGTCAAGATCATGGAGCTACATGTTCGACTGATTTTGATTCTTAAAAAGAGCAATAAACCTGCTCTTCTTTATGCCGCAGCAGGTTTCATGCGGCATCTTACGTTTCCAGAGGCTAACAGGGCTTTGCTTGCAGATGCCGGACTCATGGAAGCATGCTGTCGCATGCTCGTACTGGACGATCCGTCGGTCCGTGGTGAGGCAGCAGCCATGCTATGCAAGCTCGTCACCGGCAACTTTTACAACATAGAGAAAGTCATGTACGAGACCGTCGGCCCTGACACAGAAGCAATTGACCCGGACGTCTCAGCCGACACTGTGATCTTCTCACACATCGTCGAGCAAGCCCTCGCTCCGGGCAAACCCTTACCAAGCACTACAATGAAGAACCCAATGATCGAGCTTGGCCGTACCATCGTTGCCATGCTGCGATATCTTGGACGACCAAACGCAGAAAAAGACGTTGAAGCAGTACAAATACAGATCTTACAAGTACCCCAGATTGCTCGACCCATCGCCCAGCTAGTCCGACAGCGCTTCTACCCCGAAGCGCGATCCGAAGGACTGCTCGGGTTAGGCTTGTTAGCCCAAACACTGGAGGGCGCCGCAGCTATCGCTGAAGAGATCAAGGAGGATAGTGGCTTACTTGAGACGATCAAAGAGCACGCCAATGCAACAGAAGCAGGTCTCGCACAGCAAGCTCCATCAACGGCTAGCAGAGACCACCAAAACGCGATTGTGCTGCTTCAGGCGCTGCAGAACAATGCGGTAAGAGAACTCCAAGAAGCCGTCGGGGAAGTACTAAGGACTTCCAGGCTGACCAAATGGACGCAATACTCTCGCATTAGGCAATCGTTGTCTAAACACCAAGGGCGTCGATCTTCGGGTGATGTGAGCACACTAGGTAGTCCTGGTGGAGCATCGCCAGGGAGGGTCAGGGAGCTGGCACGGAGAGCTACAGATTCACCTGGAACGTTTCCAGGCAGGGCTAGGGGTTCTACGTTTGTTGGGGATGGTACTGATGAGCGTCCACGAACTCCCTTGGCGAGAGAGATTGTCAAGGAGTTTGAAGAGGTATCTCCTCGTACGGTGGTTAAAGAATCGCCGGCAAGGGAAAGGTTAAAGGGCAAGGGAATGAAACGGACGAATACGGCACCGCAATGATTTCTACGACATGGTCATGTTTTGTATCTACATATTCTTAATAAATCACTCTCCACTTGTTCACGATAATGCCTGGTCGAGATAGCACTCCAAGCTTGAAATGTGTTCGTGGTATTGCAATTGTAATGGTGCCAAGAATGTATCTTGGCTGAAATCTCTAGAACACTCCATCACACCACTTTCTAACAAGACCATATCAATCAGATAACCTTCAAACGATCTCCAACAAATAATGGACACGCAAAAGGCAGTGAATAAGCGGCAGTGGCGTTCCAGCCTCACCGTGTAACTGCAGCGTAATCAAGAGGCCTCTGATTGGCCAGATGAGCCACTCACGCGATTCTCCCGCTAGGATCCAGGGTCCATGACATAGGTCGTAGAAGTGAGTGACGGGTATAAAGAAGGGCTGTCTGGTCGATGTATTGTTATTCAGCTACCAGTTCAACTCTACGATTCAACCACTCTACAAACAATCTTACGAAATCAAAAAACCATCTTACCTTTACCAACCACCAACTCAACCTACCAACACTACAACATCAAAATGGTCTGCTGCGGACGTAACAACGGCACCTGCGTGTGCGCTCAAGAGGCAAAGTGCTCCTGTGGAAAGCAGCCCGCTCTTCAGTGCAGTATGCCTCCCTTTATGTGCCTTCTTCCAGCTCTACCAGAACACTGTCTTTCACCTACCACCTACCAATTGTTAAACATCTACTAACAATTTCCAGCTTGCGAGAAGGCCGTCACTGAGAACAAGCTTCCCTCCGACTCTTCAGCATGTGCCTGCGGAAAGCGAACTGAAGATGCGTGCAACTGCGGTCGCGCCGACAACAACGGTACTTCCAACCTCGAGACCGACTTCACTACCCAGAAGTAAATGGCTAGGAATGGTGGATGTGTGACGGCGTGCGATGATGATGATGATGCATTTGAAGCGCGGGGATACCGAAGTGACATGGGAGGGTGTTTTTGGCGTTTGATATTGGCCTGAGTGGATATACCTGATACCAATAAATGACAATCTTCAAGTTCAGAATTGTGCCATGATGTCTCTGGCGCCATGTGAGAAGTGCTTGGACGCGTTTGCAGACCAAGTCCAGACGCGTTCGTCTCGGACCTCGAGCTTGGACGTGCAATGCATCGCTATGAAAAGCTTAGAAACTTTGGTGTTTCTATGGGATCTCTCCGGCATATGGCCGTTACCCCTTGGCCTATGATCTCAATCTTCATGTGTAGGGCATTCCATCGGTTCATGGCTTGCGGTCAGGCTCGGGGATGCGCAGCGGTACGGTCGATCGGATATACGCATATGTAGGTTTTCGTGGCAATGCCTCGACGTGTTCCATCTGGTCTTACCTTGGACTGGACGCATCGGCCGGTGTATGCTATGCGCAGGATAGATGGAATGGATGTTGTCTTTGCACGGTGCAGCAGCTACCCACGCTAGACCCTGTTTGCTTGGCATCCATGTGTAGAACATCCACTTATACCCACCTTCACCTGTGCATTCAGGGAACCAGCTGAATAGCTTCTGGTCAAGTTATGAGCCTTTCTCGCCCGTTCCAATTCCATGCCCTGCCCTTTTATGCGCCCTAAGCCTGCAGCCAGCCTCTAGAATCCGCTGACGGGCGCCCCTTTCGCGAACTATCCACCTCCGCTCCGCAGCGCGCACGCCAGCATAAACCCTGCCTCGAGGCCCGTACCGCGCCATTCCCTCATAGCGCACCACTACCGCCGCCGCATTGTCGGGCTACCTACCAGGTGGGAACCGCCCACCCACCACGACCACTACCACCAGCATGGCGACCTCGGTCACGTCCAAGATGGCAGCGAGGGCTGGTGGAGGCCTCTTCAGCCGGGAGCAGTCGGGCAACGTGCCCACGATGCGAGGTACATGACGGCATGCCCACGAGATGCCAGGGATGGAAGCTTACAAATCTGGACAGGACTGGTCTCGTTCATCGCTGATCTGAGAAATGCTCGCGCAAGAGAACTGGAAGAGAAGCGCATCAACAAGGAATTGGCCAACATACGGTGGGTACTCCAACTCGTTCCACAAAGTCCCTCAAGGCTAACAACACTGCAGGCAAAAGTTCAGAGGTACTTCTCGGACACGCTTCCCCCATGATTTGGTCTAACAGAATTCCCCCAGATGCCGGCCTGAATGGCTATCAAAAGAAGAAATACGTCTGCAAGGTATACACGCCACTCACCGCTCTCCCTGCCCCGTTGCTGACCCTCGCAGCTCCTATACATATACATACTCGGTTGGAACGTCGATTTCGGACATCTCGAGGCGGTGAACCTCATCTCGGCGACCAAGTACTCGGAAAAGCAGATCGGATATCTCGCCGTTACCCTATTCCTACACGAGGAGCACGAACTGCTGCACCTGGTCGTTAACAGCATCAGGAAGGACTTGCTGGACCACAATGAGCTCAACAACTGCTTGGCGCTGCATGCGATTGCCAACGTGGGTGGAAAGGAACTGGGAGAAGCACTGAGCGCCGAAGTCCATAGGCTCCTCATATCACCGTGAGTGGCACAGAACGCTTCCAATGGCCGAGCTGACGTTGGACAGGGCCTCCAAGGCATTCGTGAAGAAGAAGGCGGCTCTCACACTCCTACGGCTATACCGGAAACACCCTGCGATCGTACAACATGAATGGGCGGAACGGATAATATCGCTCATGGACGACCCCGACATGGGTGTTGCGCTTTCGGTCACTTCGTTGGTCACCGCACTCGTCCAAGACAACACCGAGCAGTACAAGGGCAGCTACATCAAAGCTGCGAATAGGCTGAAGCGGATCGTAGTGGACAATGAGTGTGCTGAAGGCTACTTCTACTACAAGGTGCCATGTCCGTGGATACTGGTCAAGCTGCTCAAGCTGCTGCAGTATTACCCACCACCTGGTTTGTGTCGCTCCCCGTTGCTAAAGACGCGCGCTGACAGAAACAGAGGACTCCCATATTCGAAAACTGATTCGTGAAGCGCTCCAAAAGATCATGGATTCCGCTCTGGAAATGCCGAAGAACGTACAGCAGAACAACGCACAGAACGCCGTGCTCTTCGAAGCGATCAACCTCGTAATACACCTCGACACAGAACAAGACCTGATGGTTCAGATATCGCAACGGCTGGGCAAATTCATCGCGTCTCGGGAAACTAACGTGCGATATCTAGGATTGGAGGCCATGACGCATCTGGCTGCTCGAACTGAGAACCTCGATCCTATCAAGAAGCACCAGGCAATTATTATCGGATCGTTAAGAGATAGGGATATCAGTGTGCGAAGACAGGGTCTGGACCTGCTATACAGCATGTGCGATCCAACGAATGCGCAAGCGATCGTGAACGAACTCCTGCGATATCTACAGTCCGCCGACTACGCGATAAGAGAAGAGATGGTGCTGAAGATTGCCATTCTGACAGAGAAGTACGCCACGGACGTTCAGTGGTACGTGGATATTTCGCTGCGACTGATCGCGATGGCTGGAGACCACGTCAGTGACGAAGTCTGGCAGCGAGTCATCCAGATTACGACGAATAACGAGGAGCTACAAGTCTACGCTGCGCAAACCATCCTGCAGTACATCAAGTCGGACTGCCACGAGACACTTGTGAAAATTGGCGGATACCTGCTCGGAGAGTTTGGTCACTTGATCGCGGACAGCAAAGGATGTAGCCCAATCGAGCAGTTTATGGCGTTGAGCGCGAAGATGCGAGGCTGCTCGTCAACTACACGGGCGATACTCCTATCGTGCTACGTCAAGTACGTGAACTTGTTCCCCGAGATCAAGCCTCAACTTCTCCAAGCTTTCCGCGCCTACAGCCATTCGCTCGATTCCGAACTTCAACAAAGAGCATGCGAATATCTCACCCTCGCCACCATGCCAACGGACGACCTACTACGCACCGTGTGCGACGAGATGCCTCCCTACCCAGAACGAACGTCAGCACTGCTCTCACGGTTACATCAAAAGCACGCCACTACTAGCGACAAGCGAACGTGGGTGGTTGGCGGCAAGGACGCGAATGCGGACCTCAAGGAATTTGGTCTTGCAAGGCAGAACACGTCTGCTGGCGTCAAGAGAAGCTTCACAGAGCCTGTACCAAAGGATGCCAAAACTGGCGCGACAAATGGTGCCAACGGCGTTGCCGCAATATCAAGCGATTTGGAAGGTCTGGATCTCAACATCGACATGAACAAGGCTTCTAAAGCACCGAACCTTGCCAGCGCTGCTCATCTGAGTCCCGACTGGGAGGTCGGATACACCCGTCTGCTCCTGCGGCCAGAGGGCGTACTCTACGAAGACCAACAGATACAAGTCGGCCTCCGAACAGAGTACCGAGGACAACTGGGTGCTCTCATCTTCTACTTCACGAACAAGTCGCAATTCTCCATGGGCTCCTTCACAACCACACTCGATAACCGGTCAGCAGAAACCTTAAAAACAGATATCAAGGGCTTACCCGATACCACCATCGCCCCCGAAGGCCAGACCCAACAAACAATCATGTTCGAATGCAAAAACGTCTTCATCGATCCACCTACGATCCGTATCTCGTACCTCGCAGGCGCCCTCCAGGGTCTCACTTTACAACTTCCCGTCCTCCTACACAAGTACATGGAAGGCGCCGAACTCTCTGCCGAAGACTTCTTCAAGCGGTGGAAGCAAATCGGCGGTGCACCGCGTGAACACCAGAGTATCTTTGGTCTGGTAAACAAGAATAGGACCATGGATAGCGACTTTGTGCAGAAGGTGGTCAAGGGGTTCAAGTGGGGGATTGTTACGGGTGTGGATCCTAATGTTAAGAATATTGTGGGTGCCACGGTGCTGCATAGCAGTGAGGGCAAGTTTGGGTGTTTGTTGAGGTTGGAACCGAATTTCGAGACGCAGGTACGTGATGATGATGTCGATGTTGGTGGGAACTTGAGCAAGCTAACGATGAGACAGATGTACCGCATTACGATAAGGGCGACTGATGAGTCGGTTCCGCCGGTGCTGGTCAAGGCTATGCAGGATCGACTTTCGCAGGGTATTGAGGGAATGGCTTAGAATGGGTAAATTATTTTTCTCGTTCATGCCACCACCACCTCTCTACTTCACTGCTAGCACCACCACCACCGAGAACACGATCATTTCTACATTTCCCCGAGACCGCGATTTTTTTTCTTCATAAACTAATGTTTTTGTCTGGGTCTGGGCAAGTTGGAAGAGAAAGAGAGGGAGAGAGAGAGAGAGAAAGTTTGTTTGATGATTGGGCTGGCTGCATGTGTGGTAGCGCTTGTTTTGAAAGGGGGGAAAACATTAAGATATGGCGCATACCCTTTTTTTCTGAATTGGTTCATGTAGCATGATCATATACATCGGAGCGTTGTTTTTTGTGGTAGACGGTTTCTACTATGATAGTGAGGTGTTTGCGACAGTACTCTGTATGTGTGATCTCAGCGTGAGACGAATTACCTTCGGTACCTTGGGTGGCACCGCTCAAGAAGGGCGTAAGGGCGCAAGTGCCTTCAAACCACGGCTAGTGCCTGAGGTATCAATGTTGCCTAGGAAAGCATGAACATGGTTGAGTCATATCGCTAAACACTTACCACATTAATGATACACCGAGTCTTGTATAAACCTTTTACCGTTGCAATCACTCAAAGATAGGATATCACAACACAATCACAATAACTCATACAATATTGCACACCAACCGAATCGCGATACCACATCCTTCCAACATGCCGGTAACAACAATCCCCCACCCCAACTCCTCCTCTTCGGCCTCTTCTCCTACCTCCGCCACACCCTCCACCAAACCCGTCTTCTTCTGGAAACCAAACGATGGCCACGGCTACCTCTCCCAATGGTACTGGTCCAAGTTCACCGTCGACAGCGAAACCTACGCACAAGCAGAAATGTGGATGATGGTACAAAAAGCACGTTGCTTCGGCGACGAAAAGATTGCGAAACAGATGCTAGAGACTACAAATCCGAAGGAACACAAAGACTTGGGACGACAGGTTAGGGGGTTTGATGCAAAGGTTTGGGATAAACGTAAGTGCTTCTTTTCATCCGCTGGAACGAAAGGAAGGAAGGAAGAGATTGCTGAATATGAACTAGGTAAACTGGACATTGTGACACAGGGTACATATCACAAGTTCACCATTAGTGATGATGCAGAAAACCTGAGGCGCATGCTGCTAGCTACTGGTGAGCGTGAGTTGGTTGAGGCTAGCCCTTTCGATCGCATTTGGGGCGTGGGGTTTGCGGAGAAAGACGCACAGAGGAATCGGCATAGATGGGGGCAGAATCTGCTGGGAAGGGCGCTGATGGACGTTAGAACGCGATTGAGAGAGGAGGAGAAGAAGAAGCAAGGTTGATGAGCGGTTCCTTGAGAATGTGTATCGTTAGTGAATTCTTATGGACACATGCTGAGACAGAAACATGCCATCTGCCATCTGAGTGAGAATCAGGTTCTGATTATCTCTGCTTTGACTAGGCTACTTAGGCCAGGGTTCACGCCGTAGGAAGTCTTCGAACAACCCTTCCAATTCTTCTTTAACAGTCTGCGTCCATTCCTGCGGAAATCTATGACCAGCCCTGTTGTATGAATCGAAGATAAAGTTGCTCCACTTCAACTTCAATTCTACTTGTCGAAGCTTCCCCATGCTTTTGATCGAGTGCAGCGCTAAAGACAAAGGGTGATTAAGAGCGAATGTTCCAGACGACCGAATTGTAGCCAGCCATATGAGGAACTCACTACTGCTAGGCAAGATGAAAGTCCCACTGTCGACATACCCAATGACCTCGGTGACTTCGACACCCAGTTCGAGATTCTTCAGAGCCGGCATCGAGTTTAGTAGTAAGAGAGCGGAGGAAAGACCCTGACGCAACAACTTCTCCTGTATTAACTCCTGCTGGATCAACCTCTTATGTGCCATCCTCTGCTTCCCCTTTAATCTGATACTTTCCATTGAGTCCCAACCGCGTGAATCAAAGGCGTCTTCTCTCTGAAGGCTAGGGCGTGGGGGATTGAAATAGTCTCGGTTAGTGAAGAATGGAATGATAATTTTTCGTACACAGACGCGATTCTTCGGCGAAAGGGCTTTGGAGAAAGCCTCGACAATAGGGTAGCAGGTACGTTTGCTGTCTGTCAACACGAAGGTGAAACGCTCAAACAAGTAGGAGGGCACTTCTTGTCTAAAGACGGTGTCAGTGCAGACAAGATTCAGAATGAACTTGCAATTCTCGAAATGAATATCGCCGTAATTATCCAGTGTCACCTTGATGGTTCGGTCTGATTTGGCGCTGATAATGTAATCGTAAATCATCTGACGCAACTCGGTTGCAAGGCGTAAGATACCAGATTCTGGCTCGACCATGCTGGATATGCGTTGGGTGGATTAGCAGCCTCTGTGCCCATTTATTTATACAGGAGATTTCGAATTGTTTGTCGTCGACATCATCGGACTGGATGACAGAGCAAACCTGACAGGTGAAAAACAGCTTGAAATTTACAGTACCAGCATCCGGCTGGTCCTATGCGATGAAGGGTCTTTGGACAGATGCATCGTCGCGTTCCTGCGAGACCACGTGTATCTCCATGTGGCCAGGGTACTCGGACCCTGTTGTCTTGGGTCCAAGTGACAAGATGGCCGCGAGTTCTTTGGGGGTGCCTCATCTTCCGGTGGGCTTATTGGTGCATACGACCAATACCATACAGTAGGGATCGTGGTTTAGTCTGCTGGAGGTCGTCGGACACTTTTCTCGCGCTATTGTCTGGAACTTTGCGCGAGTATTACATACGAGAAGGGCATACGAAAAGGGTGCATCGAATCAGTAATGTATGCGCGCTGCCATACCTATCTGGGTCGCCATCCAAATGCTAAGAAGACGGATAGGGACCAGTCATTCTCAACGCCCGCTACTCAAACAAGACTTGTGCAAAATAAGTCTTTCCAAAGCGGAAGCTATCGCAGGAACAACATGCTCGAGTTGACATCCGTGGTACGTATGTAGCCAGGTGAGGTGAAGCGTGAAGTCGAGTACAATCAATCGGAGCGAGTCGAAAGCAGCGACACTATCGACGGCAGGAAGCGCAACCGTATCAGGAATGGGACGTGGCGGACAGACGGAGTACAAGGTGATGTGAGATGGAAACCCGTATTGGCGTGAGCGACGGAGAGGTGCGTTTCCCTGCGTTGTACTACAGATGGCGAAAGCACACCTTAAGGTATACATTATATCTTGCCATGCCAGCCCGCGTGATAGATGTAGCGAACACCTGCAGTATGTAGTCTAGCGATAGGTTCTCCGCACTATGCAAACGGTCGAAATCAAGGATGATAAAGCCTCCGGCTGCATGTATAGTAACCGGAGCTAGGAGCAGGTCGTGTTCCGCTCTGCTAGCCAATCGCCTCGGCTCCACGCGCGCCACCAAATGCGGAGGCGGCAGGCGCGACCGGATCATCACGTGTAGGAAACACCAGCTCGAGCTCCGGGCGACCTTGTGTCATGAGGACAACAAACGCCCCTTAGACTACCAACTATACACGCATTTTTACGCTGTCGGGACAAAGCGCGCATACCGCTATCCCTCTGAGATGTCTACAATGATTACGTTCGCTGCAAATAACGAATTTTTCCGGAAGCGCAAAAGTACGCATAGACCGTGCGCACGTCGCAACGCGCAGCTAACAGCGTCGCAGGAGTCCACCGCGCGTGCGAATCATGCAAGAAGCGGAGAGTAAGTTCCAAGGATGCAGCAAGCCTGTGGCTGTCGTCTAATTCTATACTAGAAGCGTTGCTCACATACGTTCGATGACGAGGCCGAACCCGGAAGCAATACCCAAAGTGGTGGCGGAAGCAATCCGACATCAACAGAAAGCCCTACAACAAATGGACACTACCATCCTCATGATCCCAGGGGTGCCCGTGGAGATTACGGCCATGCTCAATCCACAATGCCGCCGCCGCAAAGCCCGGCCTCGGATCATACCGCCCCAACACCACCCAACTTTCTAGGCTATCTCAATCCCGAAGCTGTCTTGCGAGAGCAAGTTCACTCTGAACGCGGAAAAACTGCTCAATCACCCAACCACCCTCCAATAGGACAATGGATCGAAGAACGAGATCAAAGACCAGCCTCGACTCAAGCGGGATCAAGCTCTTCGCGGATTGTAGAAACAGGTCCACATTCCAACCAAGAGGATCAAATATCTAGGGCTCTCCTGACTTACCTAGACGCTGTTGGTGTTGACATCTTACCTTCTCGCATAAATCAGACGGCCCTTCTCGAGATATATTTTAGCTACGTACACCCACTACTTCCGCTCGTTGACAAGGAACTATTCTACGAGCAATATAACTATGGCCGAGAACCGCGGATCCTGATGCAAGCGATTTGTATCGTGGCCTCAAAACATGCAACAGCTGCCAAACATCTGTGTCTGGGGAATGACACCCAACCGCTCAATCCACGCGAGTTCTCTCAAAGGCTCTACAACGCGGTCATTGTCGGTATCGAAGCAAAGCTGGAGAAGAACCGCGTTGTGCTCATCCAAGTACTTGCTTTGATATCACTCCATTGCGAAGGTCCAGAAGGCGCTGAGCAATCTTCAATGCATCTGGCACAAGCAATACACCATGCGCATACGTTTGGCCTCCAGTTTGGACACCAATGGAAGAACCAAAGCTCAGAATCCCAAGGAAATCTGGAAGACGTCTTCTGGTGTTTGTGGAGTTTGGACAAGATCAACGCATGTATGAACGGAAGGCCGTTGCTTATGCATGACCGCGACAACAGCTTGAGACAGCTACCCTCAGACCCCGAGAAGCGATCCAGTCCGTTTGGTATATGGCTACAGATTTCAGAGATGCTGGACAAGGTCATCGACTACTACAGGCCTGGTAGAGCTGCCGAGGAGACAGGATGGGAGGGCGACGACTTCTTAGGCTTTGAGGAGATGGTGGGAGACGGTGAAGACAAGCTCGATGGTCCGATCATGAGTAAGACATACTATTTTGTGACTCGCGATGTTTGCTAACTTTCGCAGGCCTCCTGTCGCTTTTCCATCACACCATGTGCATGGCCTCGCACAAGTCCCTCTCTATCAATGCGCCCGTCAAATCGACACCCTCTTATGTCCGACAAAGTCTTTCAGCAACGCGAGTGATCCACCTTCTCAACGCTGAATCTCCCGAGCTACTTCCACCCCTCCCCATCGTACCCTACGCGCTAGGTGTAGCTCTCAGTGTAGTATATCGTCACTTCCGGTCTCGCCGCTTAAAGGTCCACGTCAATCGCGCCACCGAAGAACTCAAGCAATGCGTTCGCCTCCTTGATCGCTTACGAAACGCATGGTGGTCTGCAGGCACGACAGCGGATCTAGGACGAGCCGTGCTCAGCAACGCTGCAGGACGCAACACCAATGCTGTCAATACGCCCGTACCTGCCCCAGCAGAACCCCGTCAAACCGAGCCAAAGACCGAGCCGCCAACACCGCAAGCTACACATAGCCAACTGCCACCACAGAACCAGTCACAACCATGGTCACAGAATATGGGTGATACACCTATTGACCCTCGACTCCAGCAACAACAGCATCACCCTCATGCCAACTCGCCCATGACCAGCCTGCTTAACCCAATACCTGCCCCTACGCCCGGTCAACACCCGACAAGTAGCGAGCGCGCAGATCGTGCGCCTATGGCGGGCCCGCCCGCCGGCTTTGGTTTCGCAGAACAGTCACCGGACTGGCTAAACTTCGATGCGGCGTTTGAGAACTTTGAGGGTTTGTTGGGAAGTAGCGGAGCGGATTTGAGTAATGAGCTGTTTAGACCGTTGAACTATGAGACGTTGGAGGGGTTCCTGGATCCTGCTGCTTAGGTGTATGTACTATATGGGGGTAATTCGAGTCATATATGGTCTTGTAATGATGAAATGTACGATTGGAGACCGATTTTTGGTGGCGTCGTGGCTTAGATTGAATGTGCCTGCGCCCCGCATACACGTGATCAGGCTGAGTGGTGCCCTTCCAGCCGCAATCTAATGCGTGGGCACCAGAATTCTGACCTTCCGTTCTTCGACTGTCGTGTTCATTCTAAGCTTTGCTGTTTTCATCTACACTCTTCTTCATCTCCGTTTGCGGCGTTGGGGAGCTATATCTATACATTGGTGAAGATGGCCGAAGCGCGCGAGAAAAGATACAAACTCCCGAGCCTTGTCAGATCGCTGGACACTCTGAGGATACGGAAACGTTTGACTAGCTCAGCAAAGCTACCCACGACCAAAGAGGAGCTACCAATGACCATGCGAAAACTACCTATACATACAGGATTTATCAGGGAGACAGACCAATCTTCGCATCATGTGTCAATCGAAGGCTCGAAAGCTTCAATTGTTCCCAAGTTTGGTTCACGGCAATTGACTAAGACGGTTTTCGACTTTTTCAGTCGCAAGATTCGTTTCGAACCGCTGATTTGTCCGGTATGCCTCAAGCCTGAAAACTACGAGGGAGATTGCATGCCTGCAAAAATGGTTGTTTGTACTTCTGAGCCATATTGTTTTGGTTGTGAGGTCGTTGCTTGGGCTCTGAAACCCTACAAGGCTTGGCTTAAAGAACTCAAGTTAGGCGAAAGAAAAGGAATTGCGGTGAATGGACGTTCTTACCTTAAGAGTCACCATGGCGGCGATGTCTGGAATGGCAGTAACCTTCATACGACCCTTGTAGACGTTTTAATCCGGAGTAAACCATATGAGCCTACTGAGGGCGCATCTCCTGAATTGATAAGTGAGTCAAATACTTGTGGTCTGGTTTCAATTTTGCAGGTTTTACTGATGGTAGCAGACTCTTCATGTCCATGGAATTTTCCGCGTATCGGTCCTGAAATCACCGGCCATACAGGCTCTTCGGCTGCTATTGACAAGGCGCGGACTTGGTATTCTGAGTGCCTCGTGAATCACAAACGCTGTCTTCAGAATTCAGGCTCGCCACTACCAACCAGGATCATCCTCATCGAAGGAACTGCCAAAGCTAGATTACATACTTCAAGTACCGAACATGCTCCGTATGCCTGTCTAAGCCATTGCTGGGGTGGGCAGTCTGTTATTCAGACTACCACCAGAACGTTAGAGCAATTTACCACTAACCTTCCCTGGGAGGAGTTGCCCCAGACATTCAAAGATGCTATTCAATTCGTGCATGGTTTTGGCTTCAAATACCTGTGGATTGACTCGCTTTGTTAGTATTTCATGGCAATCTGAGCTGAAGCTCTCCATCTGACTCACCGACTGCGACTAGGTATCGTTCAGGACTCGATCGATGATTGGCGCCACGAAGGAAGCCGGATGTCGCAAATCTATGCAAACGCATCCGTGACCTTGTCATCTACGTGGGCAGAGAATCCTTCTCAAGGCTGTTTCGCGACATCTGACAAGAAATACGTATCGCGCACAAGGACCTTCAGAAATGCCGATTACGAGACATATGAGCTTCATTGCCATGAACAGCTTCCTTCGATATACGTGGGTGTAACACCAGATGAAACACCACTACTTAATAGAGGCTGGGTTTTCCAGGAGCGCATGCTGTCTAATAGGATCGTTCACTTCATGAGGCAAGAGCTCTGGTGGGAATGTCGGGAGTCTCTTACCTGCGAATGTCGCCGTAAGAGCCACACCGAGGCTACTCACATATTCGATATGGGCCAGATAGCAAGGATGAATGAGTTCTGCTCGTTCGATGCGATCGAAGGAAATTGGGAACACTTGGTACGGATATATACGAAGAAGTCACTCACATATTCCAGCGATATCTTTCCGGCTTTACAAGGACTAGCGAAGCTGGTTTCACCAAGTATGGGTAAATACCTTGCCGGACATTGGGAAAGTACCTTGACTCAGAGTCTCTGCTGGCACGCTATGAGGACAGCGCAGAAAAAGCCACAGCCATGGCGTGCCCCGTCCTGGTCGTGGGCTGCAGCTAAAGGGGAAGTGATATGGCCACTTTATGAGCGTGGTCGTAAGATTCAGACGTGCGCTAAAATCCTCGGCGCCATGACAAGACCCAAAGGAGACGATCCAATGGGCGAGATATCTTATGGGGTTATTTATCTGAAAGGAAGATATTTGGTCGGTCAGATACAAGACACCCGAACGTCTGAAGAGCATCTTCCTAGTAGCCTTACGTTGAAAGGATCACGACCTTGCATATCACCGAAGTCATTCATATGCTACCCTAGTTGGGATTCCCTCGATCATGAGGACGGAGCGCAGATCGTTGCTCTGAAGATGCTCGAGGTTGCCAGTCTGAGTTCCTGTGGAAGGAAAACTAGTGTGGAACAGTATTGGCTGATTCTGAGAGCCATAAAAGGAGTACAAGGGAAATACATGCGTATCGGTATAATGGAAGAGTTAGGCGCTGAGAAAATAGGTTCGCGGCTCAGGGATCTCAATGCTTTGTATGAAGAAGAGTCAGTAGAGATGGATTTCAAGATTGTCTGATAACACAAACAAGCAGTCGAAAGTTACACTCACTTATCATGAATGCAAGAGATCGACTGCCTGCTTCAATGCGCGCGAAGTAGACGTTCGGGTATCCGCCCAACACACCCCTGCACTCAATCATCTAGCTCTTCTCCTGCGCCTCCTTCTCCTTGATGACAGCATCCTTCTTCTGCGGCCTCTCTCCAAAAATCTGACTCCCTACCCTGACCTCATCACTTCCCATCTTAACCGCACCCTCAAAATCCGCACTCATGCCCATACTCAACTCCAATTGCTCTTCTCCCCACCCCAGATCCTTGATAACCTGATCCCTCGTCTCCTTCAACGTGACAAAATCCTCATTCTCGTTTTCCGCAGTCGTCTCCTTACTCCTCGCAATCGCACCAATGGTCATTAGACCGGAGAGCTGGAGGTGCGGACACCTCTCTATGATGTGCCGGCAAAGGGACAGTGTATCCGAGGGTTCGACGCCGGATTTTGCTTCTTCACCTGAGGTATTGACTTGCACCTTGACGCGCAACTTCCCCTCTACCTTGTCCCCATCCTTTTCGACTAAAGCTTTCCTTCCCTTCTCCAGCTCATTCGCCTTCTTCTCGCTGTCTACGCTGGAAACACAACACAGATTTGGTATCTGCTCAGCCAGCTGTTTGCACTTGTTCGACTGCAGACCGCCAATCATGTGCCATTGTATGGAGCGGGGGAGGATCTTGCTCTTCTCGAGGAGCTCTTGGACGTAGTTTTCGCCGAAATGGGTTTGCGTGGGATTGGAGGGTTGGTGGAGGGCGAGGATGTCGTTTGCGGGTTTGAGTTTAGATACGGCTATGAGGCGGACCTGGGGCGCGTCAGAGATGTTGGCTGGGGTTTTGGTAGGCTTGAGAGATTTGGGGAGGACGTACCTGTTTCCCACCTTTGCTCACGGCATTGATGCGCGAGGTTATGCTGGCGATGTTTTCGGCGAGTTGCTTCGCGCGTTGGGGATTTATCTGCATGTCTTCGGCCATGGTTGGAACGGGGCTATGATGGTGTTCGCGTGTTCAGCCCTGCGGCTCGCTTCGGTGAAGACGTCAGATCGGCGTTTGGGCGTTATCTCCGGGGGATGCACGAGTCACTGTAGGCAGTACGAAGAAGCTCACTTTGGTCAAGCTGTATCTTGACCACTACCCTAGAGGTACTTACATGGCTTTCAAGTTGTAGAATTTAAAGACTGACGACTAATGAAGATCTATTCTTAGGGTGTACTTTCATGTTCTATACTTAGGAAAACGAGCCTCTTTGCATAGCCGAGGGAATGATATCTAAACCTGACTACGAATCGCTATAGATAAGATACTACAAAGAACACCGCAAGGTAGAGATATCAACTGAGTGCTAAGGAGCCGCTGCGTCAGGCTGTGAAGTTTGCCAGGACTCGCTGACCCGCTGCAGCCATTGTTCGCTCGCGCCGAAAATTGGATCCATCAAGAAATCATGCTCAGTGCCTTCAATGACTAAGGGCCGATACTGATAGCTCTGGCTCGGCGTCCAGATGGCATTGAACCAATCCCTCCCTTTGTCACCAACCAATTGGTCGTGCTCACCATGAAAGCAGTCGATAGACCAGACCCTGTTACTGCCTGCCAGTCGATCATCTTCAGCAATTGTCTTCGAAAGAAGCTGCACAGCATCATCGAGATCTTTCCACTCGACAATGGGTGTACTCCATGGAACAGAGCGCTTTAGGAACAACTGGGTGTCTGCCGAGACACCGTCCACATTTTCGGCGAAGACGAACTTGGTGATGTGATCTCGCAAGTCATCCACGGCCTTTGGATCGTCAAGTGCGATGTCCTGGAAAACGTCGGGAGGACCATCCTCTGGCCTTCCAGAGTCGACAGCCCCAGACACTGTGAGTGCAACGGGAGCTGTTGTGGGATCTGAACGCGAAAGTGGCGCGGAAATCCCTTTCACGAATGCGCCACTCAAGCCGATCACTGGAATGATATTTTGGTTGACGAATCTACCGATTGAGCCAAACTTTCCTATCCACGAAGCAGGGAGAAGCTCAGTAGCCTGTAGATGCGTCATCTTCGAATGCGAGTAATGGACCCATGGAGCAAAGAAAGCGACATATGGATGATTGGGATTCAACAGATGTGGGTAGGCGAGAATAAAGTTCATGAGGTAGATGTCGCCTCCACTGTGACTAGCAATCGAAACATGCGAGATGTTCAAATGCGCCAGAAGCTTGGGGGCCATTTCTGTAACAATGAATCAGCTGTCTTCGTAGAAGGACACTGTTAACCTTACCCAGCCAGGTCTGTACACGCTTCTCAGGCTCCACAGCTTCACTACCACCAACGCCAGGTCGATCCGGATGGATGATTCTGACATGGTGGGCCTTTGCTAATTGGTCCAAGGGTGCGTAACATAAGCGCTGACCGAACAGAGCTCCACAGAATAAGACGATTGCTTTGCTGTCGGCGTCGCCAAAATCGGAGTAAGACACATGGTAGGGTTTGGATGTGTTGGACTCGGGGTTCGCGGGAACCACGAAACTGCGGTGAAACCTTCGATCGCAGATGAACTCGAGTGCTCCCATGTTGATGTGATCAGAAAGCTTTGAAGGTAGGGATAGGTGTGATGTGCAAACGTAAGATCGATTTTCACAGCACCAGAAGCACATAAGCAGGTATGTTAGGCCGCCCGACACGCGGCAGGATGCTGCAGGTGCCAATGAACATCGTTGTCCATGTTCTACTTCGATAAACGTTCTCAACGCCGTACTCACCGACTGGGCTATACTGCTGCGCAACGCAGTGAGAAATAGCCTGTAGTCCTCTCGATCTTGCTCAGAGTAGACGCGAAATCCGGACTCCTTAGGCTCAAAGTCCGTGACTAAGACTGCACACGTTCTTCTTGATGGTATCAAGTATCTTTAGTGGCTACCAATGGCATGATAAGAAAAACCCACGAAAAACAAACACATGCTTCACAACAGGGCGGTAACAAAGCTTCTGTGGAATACCCGTGGGGCGCTGACGCAGGTGGAAGAAAGCCGGTATGGTCAGAGAAACCCCACGGAGACAACACCCGGCTTGTCGCCCCACATGGCAAGTAACGTTCCGCAGAACCGCCTCCATGTCTATAGCTCTCCACACTCTATCAAACAGTAAATACAGATTCGAACTAGTTTAAGACGACTAAATGCACTCTAAGACCTACTTGAAGCCTAGAGACGCCCGGCTAAGCCATTTAGTACCTGCAGGAGTTCTGGGGTACTCTCTCAGACAGATTGCTTTATATAGCCAAGCCCCCGTTTAACCCCGGATACACCCATGACGCCCCGTGAGGTTTTATATGAAGGTGAACTTCTAGAAATGAAGTGGTATGCAATTTGAGAGGGGCGGCAGTGAATTGTAATGTATAAAGATGTGGTTTCCGTAGGTACCGTATTTACTGGCGCGGTCGTCCCTTCCTACTCTAGCACTCGTCGACAGCCTATTTTACGATGAGGTATCTTCCTGCTCTTCTTGCCGTTTCGGTAGCGCGAGGTGCGCTTGCACACCCAGGGTCTCCGCATCCAGATGCACAAGGAAGGTACACGATTGAGGCAGAAGGGATTAGAGCGCAGTTCATTCCGTACGCTGCCACCCTCACAAACCTCTTTGTCAAAGGTAGATTCCAGTCGAAGTGCAAGATAGCCTCCACTGACACAATTACAGATCCAACGGGTCAAGAGCTAGATATAGTTCTGGGCTACGACAATACCTCTTACTACCGTAAGCCCGCCGTCGCGCGCTTGACCTAGCATTACTGAACATATTGCAGCCGTCGACCCTGGACATCCCGTCTACAATGCAATTCCTGGACGCTACGTCAATCGCATTGGCAATGGCGAATATACCCTCGACAACGTTACCTACCACACTGAAAAGAATGATGGTCCAAACACCCTACACAGCGGCACGAACAACTGGTCCTTCAGAATGTGGAATGTTAGCGCAGTAACCAACTCCTCAATCACCTTCTCGATTAGCGACGCATCGAACTCTTCTCTCGGTATGATCGGCCGCGTCGATGCGAGCGTCACATACTCGGTCTCGAAGAACAAGTGGCACATCTCCATGGATGCCACATCCCCAGAAGCAAGAACGCCTCTTATGCTGACGCAGCACACTTACTTCCAGCTTGATGCTTTCAAACGACCTGACAACCGCACGGTCTGGAACCATACTGTGTATATGCCAGAGGCTAAGCGAGCCCTTGTCGCCGATGCAAACGCCCTCCCTACTGGCGAGATTGCGCAGATCCCAGCAGGAGCCATTGACGATTGTAGGTGTTTTCCTCCCACAAACCGCACATGAAATAGGTACTGATTTGTGTCTAGTCTGGTCGGCGCCGCATGAACTTGGGTTTGCATCAGGCAATGCCGAGTTTGAGAACCACTGCGGCAACGGGTGCCACGGCTACAACGGCGCTTGGGCGTTCAACGAGAGCAGGAACAAGAGCGCGGCTGTACTCACACTGTCAAGCGCATACAGCGGCATCGAGGCTAAGTTGACGACCAACCAAGATGCTGTAGTGCTGTACACGTGCAATTGGAACGATGGAAAGAGCGAATTCAAGAACACTCAGGGCGTCGCAGGCCAAGACAAGTTCATCCCGCGCGACGGCTGCATTGCTATTGAAGCCCAAGACTACGTTGATGGCATCAACCAGTGAGTACATGATGACGTCGTGCAAGGCCACAAGCTAATATTGTTGAACAGTCCGGAGTGGGGTCGCCTCGACAAGCAGATATCCGGCCCTGGAGACAAGTACCACTGGGAGTCGTCGTGGGAGTTTGGAACAATCTGACATGAGATGGGAGTTGAGTTCGAGAGGGCAGGAACGGGCGGGCTAGGTGCGTAGGAGCAGAGGTAGTAAGCAGAATGTTATGCAACCCGTTGACCCACGGCCAACTGTCAATACCTGGAGCCCCGCATTTGGGCGGGGTGGTGGTGCTCGCGTGTCGCCCAACTACTGCGAAGATGTCTACCTTGGCAGCACAGTCAGCTGGAGAGAAATTGGTCGGTATGGGCGAGCTGGTGCAAGAGTGAAGCGACAATTTTGTCGGGGCTGGAGTGCGCGGGCGGGAATAGCGATCTGGTTCCTGGTACTGGTATCGTGGCGGCGCGGGCTAAGCGGCACAAGCTCCAGTACCTAGCTGCATGGCATGGCTGCATATAGGCCCAGATGTCGCCAGCCTGTTTGCCGTCTTACCTCCCTATACAGCTCCCAGCTGGCAGTGCTGTGTGAATGAATACATGGTGAAGCGACGTGCCCAAAGCCCCAAGACTGATCTTGAAGCCTGATTCCCTCGCCCCGCCCATTCGGCCCTACGACTACCTCATACGCAACATTCATTTGCGATCGACGCCCTGGCCTGCTGCCAAGAAACGACATCATTCAGGATTCGCTCTCCAACACCAGCACCTGTCGACGTCGCTCCGTCGCCGCTTGCACCTCGCTGCTCCGCTGCCCATGCGCCCCTTTTGTCGATCGCGACTGCCGCCTCCTTCTGGTCGCACTTCTTGAGACGCGTCGAGGAAAGGGCCACCCACGGCCAGGTTCCCCAGCATCCATGTCCTTGTGACACTGTGCTATCTCCCACCGGACACCCTCACCACCTCGCTGTCGCTAATCGTCGCGATAACGACCTGATCCCTGCCCGCACAGACATCGTCACTGCACTTGGGCATCGACGGGCCGCCTTGCTACGAGCCCGCCGCGATCCGCCTTGGACGTAAACATCCATAACCTAATTCCTCCATCCATCCCACCACCCTCACCATGGGCAACTCGCAGGGCAAAGAGTCGCAGCCGGAGCGGAGAGGCCACGCCCGCCGCTCCAGTGCACACCAGCCCGCCTCTCCGTCGGCTGCCGGTCCCGCTGCATCAACACACGACAGGCCGGGGAACAGTCCCTATGGCAACTCGCGGAGGGACAGAGGCAGCAGGCCAGATCTGTCGTTCCTCGGCATACGCACGGGAGACAATGCCGAACGCGACCCCGCCCTCGAACCGCGGCGAGAAACAAAGGCGGAGCGTGAGGCCCGCAAGCTGGAGAAGGATCGCATACTCCGGGCACAGGAACGTGAGAGGAGTTTGAAAGAGGAAGGCGTCGACGGAGGCTACTTGGTCACGCTCGGTGTCTATACGGGACCAGAAGACTTCAGCAAGCCTATGGTGCGGCAATTACAGGTATGCTGCTCACTTGCACCACAGCGACATCAACTAATGCACACCAGATCGAGCGTCGACTTGCTCCCTTCTGGAGAGGTCTCGATGACCACGAAGATACTTGGACGGAGCATCAGCTTGTCGAAGTCGTCAACGGCCGCCCACTGCCCGCCGCAGATGATATTCCTCCCGAAGAACCACCTCGAACGAACACGAACAATCACCTCAGCACAGCATGGAACCCCCGTAGCTCAGAGCCCAGTCTCAACAAGCTTACGGTGCCCATGGGCGCTCGATCCATGTCCCAAGAACCGGAGCGCGGAGGCGGCCTCTCCCCTTCGAACCCTACCTTCTCCCTCCCTTCGCCTGCGTCTCCGATCGCAAACAACTCCTCTTCCTCGCCATTCTTCCGTGGACGCGCCAAAACACTTGCCTCGCTCGCAACCGGTTCTCGCAACGCTTCGCAGTCTGATATGGCCCCACAAGAACTACACCTTCCCAAAGACCCATACGTGAATGGCCAACGGGTCGAGGCTTTTCTGTACAAGAACGCCTCCGAGTGTCCCATCTGTTTCATGTACTACCCGCCACATCTAAACAAAACACGGTGCTGCGATCAGCCCATTTGCTCGGAATGTTTTGTCCAGATCAAGAGACCCGACCCGCACCCCCCAGAGCATCATGGAGAACCCGGCGCTGAGGGCGCGCAACCTGCCGAGCCAGAGGAAGAGGTTCAGCTAGTGTCAGAGCCAGCTGCTTGTCCCTATTGCACACAAACAGAGTTTGGAGTAACTTACGAGCCACCGCCTTTCAGGAGAGGACTCGTTTACAATGGCCAGGGTCATAATGGTATGGGTAGCGCGACATCGGCAATGTCTTCTACTTCGTCTTTGAACTCGCCTACTGCAGCCGGACCCGGACGAAGAAGAGCGACGTCGCTTGCAGTCACCGACAAGACTGTCATCACAACCGATATGGTGCGGCCCGACTGGGCAAAGAAGCTGGCTGACGCAAAATCGCATGCTTTGCGAAGGGCTGCCGCTGCCACAGCTCTACATAACGCGGCGTACATGATGGGAAACCTTCCACAAGGAGAGAGTCGATTCGGCCTGGGAAGGAGAAGAAGGATATTCACTAGCGATAGTGCCGGTAGCAGTGGACATGGAACGCCTCGGCGCGAAGGCGAAAGCTCATCCACTCAGCCAGGAGGTTCAAGTGACCTGTTCCCCAACCGCATTAGCTCGAGGAGAGGCAACAGGATTGATGATCTTGAGGAGCTCATGATGATGGAAGCTATACGTCTTAGTTTGGCAGCCGAAGAAGATCGCAAGAAGAGAGACGAAAAGGACGCTGCCAAAGAAGCCAAGAAGGAGGGCA